TGTCTCTCTCTCTCTCTCTCTCTCTCTCTCTCTCTCTCTCTCTCTCTCTCTCTCTCTCTCTTTGTGGGGCATGGGTGCTTGTGAGGCATGCTGACATGGATACTTTTCTCTCTTCTTCTGCAGTGGGGTTGGGTTCTTGGCTAACTGTGCTGTGAGTCAGTCAGCTGAGGACACTGACACACAGAGCCTGTGGTTTTCCAGCAGTCGCTTGTGGACTAAAAATGTCCAGGAACTGTGCTACTGAGTATTGCCAGGTTAAATTGGTGCGATCCAAATCCGAATCCCCTCCCTGACTCACATCAGCATGCTTTTTCCCCTTTTTTACTTTCAACTTTTGCTTCTCTTTAACAAATCCATGCTAATTATTTGTTAGATGCAGATGCATCTATGTGAAGTATGTGAACATTTCAAGGTTTACCTTTATGTGTTGTCTTTTACATAACTGGAATTATAAGGTATCACACTAATTGAGATCAAAGGCAGTGGCCTATGCAGCTACAATCTGATAAAACTCGTTTTGTAGCCAAAATTTGTCATCTACTTTTGCTTCATATGTTGTTGAAGGGATTCTTCACCCTAAAGTTTAAATTCTGTCATTATTTATTTGCCCTCATGTCATTCCAAATCTGTATGGCTATCTTTCTTCTGTGGAATATTAAAAACAAAAGATATTTTAAAAAATGTCAGTTTTTTTTTCTTTTGTCCATACAATAAGTCAATGGGATCCGATGTTGTACCTTGCTTGGATCCCATTAACTTTCAATATACGGACAAATACAGAATATCATCTTTTGTGTTCTACCGAAGAAATAAAGTCATGCAGGTTTGGAACGACATGAGGGTGAGTAACTGATGTCAGAATTTTCATTTTTAGGTAAACCATCCCTGTAGTCCTCATTTCCATCATCACTAACTTCATTATCACTAAAATCTTAATTTAGTCCTGCCACAACTGCAGAGATCAGTGTCTTTTACATGTGTATGAAAGAATCAATTTGTTTTAAATCATCCCTGCTTGTTTTTCATTGATCTTTATGATTGAGAATTTTACAACAACATTGACACCTGAATACTTCGGTGTGAATTTAATTTCATGTAATGTCAGAAATAGTGGGTTTGGTATAGTGTGTTAGTTTGTTGGTGCCCTGTGCGCTGTTTTTGAGTTGTTGGTTCTTAGAAGGTGTTACACTGACTGAACATGGGTATGTGGCTGTCATAAAGTTTCGTAAGACATTAAAGTTTTGATCCGGGGCTCCAGCCTTTGAAAAGCTATGAGATGGACAGCTAATGGATTCTGTAAGGTTGAGTCTGTACCTTTATAATTGAAAATGCCTTTATGACTTAGTTAAGCTTGCTTGTTTTGTCATTACTGGAAGGAGCTTGTTTCAAAGGGAATTCAGTTACAATAAGGGCTGCTGTATTATTAGGCACTATTGTTTTTTTTAGCATTGATGGGTGAATGCATTAATGATCAGACGTTCTAACAACATATTATTGCATGCTGGGAGCCAGATGATGTTTTCCTGAAGCCTCAAAAACTTAATCAGAATGTCACCAGTAGGGGAAGCCAGTGATCTTCAAGAGTCTAAAGACTGGGCAACAAAGACCTACATGACTCAGAAATGTAGTAAAAAGTGTCCAAGTCTGCCTAAGTTGCTTTCATATGCCAATAATAACAAATCAAATCATCCAAACAAGGCTTTGAATAGTGTCTACTAGTACCATCTCTCAGGAAAAGAGACCCGCGTGTTAACTTGCATGACCTGGAGTTTTTTCATACCCTATATTAATAAACAGATATAAGATGTAAGGTCATGTTGTCTGTGTAAATCTGTCACACAGCACATAGATTTACATCTACATATTTTCCATTAAAGAGACAAGCATTCATTTAATACAGTTAGTCTGAATGTTCCCACTACAACCAGTGGCTTCTCCCATCCTAAAATTGACATTTATTGTTTTCCTTCAGGGTGTACGTTTGTGTCTCAAAATCAATTCTCAAATATTTTTCTGTTCATAAGATCTCTGTGATTCTTATGGCTGATTAAATTGACTCTTGAATAAACCCGCTCTGTGAATGTCACTTTTTTATGTCAGGGTAATTTAAGCTCCTAATTTTAAAACATTTATATGCAAAATTTATAAAATTTTGACAAATGTTCAATTCTGTGAAATAAAACCTATTTTGATACCATAAAAATGACTGTTTTCTTAAATTTGCAGTTGTGTGATCATACTGTTCTTGTCTTGCACATAAAGGAAGTGTACACCATGTCCTAATAAGGAAGTTTCACAAAGGTTAGTGTCATAGATTGTGTCATGAAGTAAGTGTTTAGTTTAATATGAGTTGGATATATATATGAGAAATCAAGAATAGAAACTAGATCTTATGCATGTAAGAACTAAATTTTAGAATCTAAAGCACAAGTGCATGCAAAGCTTGCCACCATGATGCCAGTGTGGTTGATAGGGTATTCAAGGTGCCTCTCTTATTCTAATATTCAAGTCTTCAGATGCGAATTTGGTTGCTCCTTTAATGCATGTCTTTAATCTTACAACAGCTTTTTCTTGTTTTTCAGACTATTGGGAATAATCTGATGGCCATACAGTTATTCTCAAAAATAACTCAACCACTTGATGAACAATACCAACAGGCAGTTATGACCCATATATCAGTGTTTGCTTTGCAAATAAATTCAGAGTGTCTCAGTCGATGTTATTTGTCTAAGTTCAGGAAATGTCAAAAACTCTCATCTCCAAGTAACAAATGAGCCTGCTTCAACCTTTTGATGCAGGACTCAGACTTACTAACAGTGCATGAGTGGAAGAAGGACAAAGGAAGGAAACAGTCACTCCAGGAAGTGGGCAAAAAGGTCTCTGTCTCCAGCTGACCTTAAAGAGAGAACAGAAGGTTGAGCTCCACCTGGACCTCCTGAGTAAATATCAACCATTTAGATCTGGTCACCAGACTGAGTCAATCCCCAGACACAGAGTACATTTCCGGTTGCTAATGCAGAAAAGGGTGAATTTAGCATTAAGACTTTAGACATTAAGATTGGATAAAAAGGAATGTGTCTAATTTAGAAAATCAATGTATATTTTAGGTTAAAATGTGCTTGTGGGTCCAGGATGTACCACATATTTCCTTCCTCCACTACTTATCAATGATATATAGGAAGTGGCTCCACCAAAACTAAAGGTGGGAGGTGAAGAGAGCAACAATATTTTTGATTGTGGTTGTTTTGTCAGGCCAACATTACTGCAGATTCCATTAATAATCCTTAAGTCTTATTTGATTTAAACATTGTTCACTCATGAAATGAACATTTTTATTAACTGAACAGAACTGACTTTGAAGTCATGTTAAACAAAGTTCACCCGAGAGCAAGATTTTAATGACTCCCAAATTACTTATGCAGGATACATCACTTACACAGTCTTACTCAGCACAGGGACGGTGGCCAACTTTTCTTTCCATAGTTCATTTAAATGGAATGAAAATGAGCCACATGTGCACTGGTAGATGAAATATCCACTAAACCCTTTTATTTATTTGTACTAGGAAAACTAGGCCATCATCCTAGCAGGACACATGCTAGTGGTATTTTTTTATAATTTTGTAGAGCTGATGGCAAATCTGTGACCTGCTTCCATTGCAGGAAGGGCAGTGCCCAGGTTTTGCAGTTGTTTGGAGGGACTCTGGCGTAAGAGACAGCCCTGTTCCTATGGCAACCATGATGAGATTTATGAGTTACGAGCAGCAGCCTGAACAATTGTGTTCTGTGTTGAATCTGGCTCATTGCCCTGCTCTGTCCCCTGAAGCGTCGCGCTGCCGGAATTTACCAGGGAGTCATGGGGCAGCTTCTGTAAGGACATGATAGATGATAAGCCTGCTTTTCTCAGCCAGCTCTGATTAGCACAATAATGCAGGCCAGTCTAAGGGGATTTCTACAGGCCCAAATCTGATTTTGCCACACATGACATGACGTTGTAGTTTTAACAGAATAGATATAGCAAATTGTAGATAGCAAGTGAACTGAAACACACATATATATATATATACAGTATATATATATATATTAAGCAGCACAACTGTTTCTAATATTGATAGTAATAACAAATGTTTCTTTAGCGTCAACCAGCATATAAGAATGATTTAATTTCTTAAAAACTTTTATTTATAAAAACTTCCACCATAAGCAAAATCAATTGTTTGGCTAAAAGCATGAGAAAAGCAATACAAGCACATTGCAGTTTTGTTATAGAAGTTATACGGATCAGTGATTCTGAAAATATTGCTAATATTAGAATGATTTCTGAGGGATCACACTGAAGACTAGTGTTGGGTCGTTCTTGAACGATTCGTTCGTTTAGTTCATCTCGAGTCTTCGGGTTTTTCCGAGTCGTTCGTTCATCACGTGACAGCCCCATAAGCCCAAACCCCAAGACTTGTTAGATAAGAGGTGGTGAGCTAATCATAGACTGAAGACTCAGGTAAACAATGAATTAATCTTTTCTGTTTCTTATAGCAGTTTTGTATTGTTTGTAGTGTGATCAACGTTTGCGTAAGTAGTAGACATATTAGGGAAGTAACACGTAACATTTTAATTATATTTTGTTAAAATGAACGAAATGAACGAAATGACTCGAAAAAAGATTCGTTCATTTTGCTGAACGAGACTCAAAGGTCCGAGTCGGTAAAATGATCCGAACTTCCCATCACTACTGAAGACTGGAATAATGACGGCTGAAAATTCAGCTTGGCCATGTCTTACCAGAGTAAATTTTTACTTGTATCTGGCATTTGGCAAGTGTTAGTGTGCACATGTGTGTGGTTCTCTTATCTTGCCAAGGGAAGGAACAGTTATTTTACTGCTTGCACAACCCTTTATTCATACTGACTCATACTGTGCAAGTCTGTTTTTAAGCGGGGGAGATTTGTTTTACCCCTGGGTGTGTCACAGGGTTAACATCTCTCTCTGATAACACCTGACTGAAATCTGAGTTTATCTCTCACTTTTTCAAGATTGTTCCCATGCTTGTCATCAGTTTTCTCCTGGACTAGTTCATTTCAACACCGGCTTTTAAGCTTAATGAAACTTAAATTAGGCCATCTTCAATCCTGCAACTGCCATGTCTAGAACAGTAATCCGTAAAGTATTTGTTTTTATGGTATCATCCAGGATGCATCTCATTTAGACTAATAGATGGATCATGTTTCTGATGACAGCAGACAGCTTGTTTACAGATTACACAGGCGAAAAGTTCAATAGAGAACACAGATTGTGTTATGTGAACATCTGAGGATGCAAAGGAAACATCCATGCAAATCAATTCCAAACTACATTTATGGATCTCTTTCCCATCCTCAGTGATCCTTTGAGAAAAGTAGTGACTGCAGGGTGGAAAACACAATAAACATGCCAATTACCTGGTATAAAAAGACATTTTATTTACAGAATGTTTTCTTAGATGTTTTTAGTCAATTTGATTGATTACATGTGGTTTTCATTGCATTACAAACTCCTCCCTCATTAATCTTCCAAGAGTCATTTAAACAACATAAAAGAAAGGAAGGCTTCAGACAGTCATGTCTTAGTCTGAACAGAAACAGATGTACTGGGATAGTAATCAAGGCTATCC